AAGGGAGCAAATATTTCTGTGTATAGCTGGAGCACTGTTGTGGTGAGGGTCATGCATGTGTTTAAGAATGAAGGGGGTCGGGTAGCCGGATTTGGATAAATATGAAAATATTTTAGCCTTTTCTATTGTTTGGAATAACGGGAGGGAACAATGAGTAAAGAAAAATGTCTCTAATACCTTGTTGTTTGAAAGTGAAAAGTGAATATCAGAATTTTCTTAAAATATCGTTATTTCCATTAAAGGAAAAGAGCTCAGTGTATTCTGAATCAATTGAGGATGAATCAAAAGTATCCAATTCAGAAAAATCGAACGTGAAACAAGTTGATACGATAGCGCGATCGGTAAAATTGTGAAAAAAAAAAACGCCAATTCGCAAACACAAAATCGGTCGTAAAAAGACCGGCCAGGGGGAATATCCGCGAACCCTGAATGAGTCATATACCTAACAAGAATTCCATTCTAAAAATAGAACTGTAGTGGTAGTTTTGGAGAATTTATAAGTCGATTTGTTTGTGGCTCATGAGACACGGGGAACTTTTTTTTTTTCTTCTTCTTCTTCCAATTCCAGTTTCCACATATTCTTCTGAAGTGTATATTAAATTTAGTTTTAACCTGTTATTTGAAACATTTCTGGCTTTAAAATTATTTGGAATTATGTTTTAGCCTAGGTTAAACTTGATATAGAACGCTTCTAAAAGGGCAGGTTGCCGGGGTTCGTATTAGCGGGGTTTTACTGTATTCTCCATTATTTCTGAAAATTACCATTTTACCATCTTTCCAATTTTTTTTTCCATTTCCTGCCATATCTATACATGAGCCACTAATTATATTCCTTCTCATATTAGGGGCATATAGTACATTAAGTAAAGTTACCTTTACATAGGAATTATTTATATCCTTAAAGATAAAGTTTATATCTCCCTTACCTAAGATTTTTGACTTGCAGTCGACATCTCCTATTAACGCATCCATTGGGGGTATTTCTTGATAGTTGGTAAACCAATCTTTACAGAAATGTGAAGTAGCTGCACTGTCTATCAGCCATTCTCCCAGTTGATCATTTACTGAATGGAACGCAGAAGATTTGTTTTTGGTAGTCTTGATTCCTTCTATACAGTTGTCTCAGAGGATTCCTGTTTTTCAAAAAACAATATTTTATAAGATGACCTGCCTTTCCACAGAAATAACATATTTTCACATTATGTTTCATGGCATTTGGATGCACTCTTGGCTCCAGCATGCTTCCACTGTTATGTTGAGCTTGTGTAGGATAATTTTTCTTCTTTCCTTGGTACATCTTTGGAGATTTCGTTTGATATGCATTGGCTACAATATCAAGCCCTTCATCTTCTTTCTTTTGTTGTATTCTACCTGATTCATTTACTAGATGAGTCTCAATGTTCTCTATGTTGAACTGCTTCTCCTCTAGTCTATATAAAATTTGCACTATGCCTTCATCATCTTGGGGTAATTTCCTTATCAGTTGAAAGCAAACTAAAACATCAGATATTTCAAAACCAGCCTCCTTGATTAGTTGCCATTTTTCTTGAACTCTCTTACAAAATATTCCTCTAGTTTCCTCCTCAGGAGTAAATTTGAGATCATAGAATTCATCAATCAATCCAGCCAATCTTGCCCTTGAAGTTGGTTCAAAATTCTGCTTGAGTATATTCCATGCTTCCTTACCATCATTTGCATTAGCAATAAGAGTTTGGTAACGTCTTTCCACACCTTGGTAGATAGTGGTGAAAGCTCTAGCTTTTCTCCAATTATATTCTCTAGCCTCTTTTGTTGTAGCATCTACAGGTAGTTCACTTTGATTGTTAATAATAAATTCCCAACAGTTTCTATCAATCAAAATGACTTTCATATCAGTCTTCCAAGTACTATAATTAAAAGCATTTAGCTTTGGAAAATTTAAAATAGAATCATTCATTTTCCCCCCCTTTTTTTCCTACTACAGCCCAGAATTTACCACAGATCAGGTAGAAGTTTGCTACTGGCCATAACCCTGTTGTTGTGCAGAGATTTATATATTTTTTAAAGAACATCTTCAATAAAATCAATAAGACTTCTTGTTATCCTAAAAAATTATTTATTACACATAGCTTCCACACTCATTTACACTTAACAAGCAACCCAAAGAAAAACCTCTATTCTCCGCAAACAATTTTTAGATATACCAAACATAAAAAAACTTTTTACAAAAAGAAATGTGCATACACAACTTCTAAATCAAACAGCTAGAACAATTTACATATTTTCTCTAAGGAATTTCTAAAATGATCACCTACAACAGAAACCAATAGTGCACAGGCGCGATCCTATCGCCGCCGCCGCTGTAATACCTTTTTAGCGGTATGGTTGCATTTTTACACATTCAACTGTTGAAATTTGAATTTTAAAATGGTCGAACTATCGGAAGTGTCGTATTATTGATAATGTCGGATTACGGTTTGTTATTTGATAGGCTGGTGGTCAGGAAATTAGAAGATGGCCAAATTATAGTCGAGTGTCGAATTAACGAGGTTATACTGTACATATAGTCTACTCTCGATAATTTGAATAAATTCAATATTAAAAGGTCCCCTCGGTAATTTGAAGTTGTTGGAATAGTATTTTACCACAAATAAACATTTGTCAATGACTACAAATGTTTAAAATAATAAATCTTGAATTTTGATTAAACTCTTGTTTACTTGATTTTATTAATATGTAAGATTCTATCTGAAAAATGAGGAAAATGTTGCTGGTGACTTTTTCAAGCCAGACCTAACGCGTGAACTAACTAAACAAAGTTAGAGCTCAAATTTCCCATGCCGAGCGAGGCAAGGATATCTCTTACTACCCTATGCGCCACAAATAATGATTTCTTCACATTTCTCACTATTTAAAATTCATTGGGCAATGATACTCAACAAAAAACCACTGACTTGAACACAAGGTAATATGACCAAATAAATAGTGTGCGACGTCTTGGTAACAACGCTGTTACGTCGCACACTATTTGGTCTTATTACCTTGTGTTTATAATCAATAATCCAAATTGTGCCTTATCAATTACTGACTTCTTTCTAAAATGATAATTTGTGAATAATTGAACAAGTGTAAAATTTGAGATCAAACGTGTTTGACAAAGGGCAAGACACGAAACCTCTTAGTTGTTTAAACTCTTTGTTATTTTGATAAATTTTCTCTGGTCCCTTTAGTGTCAAATTATCGAGAGTCGACTATATATATAATTTTCAAAATGATATATATATATTTTTTTTCTGAAAATAGAGCAATCCATATAATCTAATGATATCTATATTTATTATGTTTATTTTTCTTTTAAATGAAATTATAAATATAAAAAAAATAGAAAGAGCAAAAGACAATTTCATACTTTATTGGGTGATGTGTTCCAGGCCTTCATCTCAGTTGAAGGTTGAGGCTGTGGTTATTGTGGTTCAGGCCTTTCTATTGACTAGTCATCTTCTTCAGGCTATGGAACCTCACAGGTCTGCCTCCATCACTGAGGGCCTCTTGGCGTCGGGGTGTGGCAGGTCACATAAGGTGCGTAGTCCCTAGGAAGGCCAGGGAGGTCTGTAGGCCCTTTTATAAAAAATTTTTGGCAACACTTTCCAGCACTTACACCCGGCTTGGTATAGCTCCTCACACACACTCCCTGGTGAGCTCCTGTAAGATTTCCTTGGTTCGTAGTCCAGGCTGCATGCTACAGTTGGTTGTCAGAATTGGTCCTCAGGGACTGCCCTGCCACAACACTCTAACATACAGGTGAGCTCTTCTTATTATAAACATTGCTCCCCTACTTTCATTCCATTTATTTAGGCCACCAGCTATTTACAACTAATTTTGTTTGGTTTGTCTTCAGCATCCTCCCCTCCCACAAGCATCAAAAATGAACATGTCTACTCTTCTCTATCTCTGAGCCACCTAACTTCTCAAAGTGGCTAATGGAGTCTTTGCCGAACCTTAAACAACTCTCTATAGGAAAGGCTGTAGTTCTTAACTCTCTACACATCATATTAAACATGAGACTACAGTAGAACCTCCCTTTAGAGGACACCTCTCCACAAAGGACTGTTTTCATTTGCAAAATTACCATTTTTACAATTTAGCAATTCTCCGGTATGAGGACACCTCTCCCTAAAGGACACTTTGGCTCTGCAATTAGGTGTCCTTTACAGGGAGGTTTTACTGTAGTAGGAAATCATTTTATTTTAGACACTCTAAACACAAGGTGATGGACCAAATTCAAATAAATAGTATGTGACATTTTGGTAATAGCGTTGTTACCATCTTTCAGACAAAAGTACTGAATGAGAAATTTTTCGTTCTGTATCATCTCGTCAATGGCCCCGGTGGTTACATCATCACCAACCTTTATCGGGGCACCAACCAAACTTTCTATTTCGCTTCTGAATTTTCTAACCCATTCAAAAATTTGATTTTGAGATAAACATTTATCACCGTAAACATATTTCATTCTGGAGTTAATTTAAAATGGTTTAACTCCTTCATGATAAAAAAAAAACGTATTACTGATCGCATTTCATACTTGGTGCAACCGTTTGTTTTGGTCACCATTTTTATTGGAAAAAAATGTTGCCAGATGGTTTCTTGAGATTTTTTTTTCTAATATAACAACAGAATTCAATTTAAAAGTGTATATACATTTGTTTCCTTTTCTATTAAACTTTTATTGTTTATTATTGATCCACCCTTGTAGAAAGAACAACAGACTGTTGTATCAATGCTAGCAACCATCAAGGTGTGGGATAAAGGTGGAAAGAGCTCTAAATATTCCCCATTCAATGGAAGATGACTGTGTAGATGTTGCATTGCCAGGATGTAAATAAAGACACCATTCTCATTATTGGAATTTATTAAACAAAAATATTCTACATATATGAGGCGTGAAATTATTTACATAATTACAAAGAAATAAGTAAGTAAATTTTCATAGCTAGCTAATCAACTAGAGAGGCCTCTATATACAGATCATAAATAAATGTTAACAATTCCATTGTCATAATCTAACAAGTGTCTGGTATCATAATGACATTATTTACACAATTACAAAGAAATAAGTAAGTAAATTTGCATAGCTAGCTAATCAACTAAAGAGGCCACTATATACAGATCATAAATATATGTTAACAATTCCATTGTCATAATCTAACAAGTGTCTGGTATCATAATGACATTATATACATAATTACAAAGAAATAAGTAAGTAAATTTGCATAGGTAGCTAATCAACTAAAGAGGACACTATAAACAGATCATAAATATATATTAACAATTCCATTGTCATAATCTAACAAGTGTCTGGTATCATAATGACATTATTTACAGTACCTATTTGGGTCAACCTTACTGATAATACAGTCTAAAAAAAATTTTTTTTGTTTATGTTTTGTATAGTGTCTTTTTGTTTGTGGTTTCAAAATACTTTTAGAATCTATATAGCAAAGTGTTAAAAGGGAAAATTCAATTAAATAACCACATAATTGCATCAATTAAAGGCTATGGTTTCCAGAATTGAATTAGTTGGGTCAGCATGGTCCCCAAGAAAGAACTCTAATCCAGCGACAATATAGAGGTCACACTGGCGACATTCCAACCACCACAAACCTGGCCCATGATTACAATTGTGTCAAAGTACATCCACTATATGGGTGGGTAGACAGGCATGGAAGCCACCAGACTAGAACTGGACCCACAACAAATTCTACCATGAGTAGGCTCCTCTTAATGATATGGGATAATGTATGTATTGTAAACTACAATTTATCACATTAACCTTTAATATTCTGGATAGCTCTTATTATGGTGCAAAAAGGAAATAAAATAAGGACAATTCAATCTCTAAGGCTTTTATAAAATACTCAAAAATATACAAGGCATTAATACTTTGAGGACTAAGAAATTTTCCCCTGACAAGATTCTAACCCAACATTGGGGGGAGCATATTCTGCGAACAAAATTTATAGATGATCACAAATGACAGGGCACATTTTATTTGTATACAAGAAATAGCTCACAATGTTGGAACAAATGTTGCACAATTTGTTAATCCTAATATAAATGAGAAGAAAACTTCCAAATAACTGAAGAGATACTGATGACCTTCAGGTTGGTATACAAGCAAGGACCACTGTGGACGCGCTTCAGGTAGGGCCAAATGGCAAATTCTCAACTATAATGTGGGGAAAACAGGTGATGAACATTTGTCGTGTGTGAATGCTGTTTGTTCAATGTGAAGTGAATGACATGTCAATCCCTCTGTGTACTGTTTGTCTTTCGCCATCATGTTGTCCTGACGCCCTTCTTGACAGGACCTCTTTAAAATCAATCAATTTCCACGAGGTAATTTTTTGACAGATGGTCAAATAAAGCACGGTTGCTTAAATTTATTTCCTCCAAAAGAGATTCTGTTGGAAACTTGGACGAAGAAGCTTATTTCAACAAGCCAGTTTCTGAAGAGAGATTTAAATTCCAACCACCCTCTCTGAGTTCGCCGACTCCAGTGTTCTTTGGCATTCTGAGTGTGAATTCGGCAACAACTGTGGTAGGTTTGTGCCCGAAAATATTCCACAGTCTGATGATTTTTCCCTATTGTAATCCATAGCCCCTAGTCTGTCATACGTTCCCACATTCCCCCTTGTTGTTTATCTTTCTCATTTTGTTTGTTGTACATATATTTTGTAAACTTCTGTCATCCCTTCCTCATCGTACCCATCTGTACCAACTTGTTCATATTGACTGTCAACCAGCACATCCCGGGCCCATGTATCACCCATCCCGACAACCTGATGTGTGTAAATAGCTACCATGTAAACCCTTTCACGTCAACATTAATTGTTGTTCCCTGAATTTGAACCCAATAAAGCAACCACTAACTTTACTTGCAGTGAGTACTTGGTGAAGCCTTTTTCCCTCAGCCACGACCCCTATCCAACTCTCCAAAGCTTTCACTTCCCATTGTCGATGCTCCCACAATCTACTTGTGTCTACCAGAAATCATTTTCCTCCAGCGGGCCTGTTACCTAGATGGCTGTGTTGTGATTGTCTTCAAGGTTTTCTCTGAAAAAGCTTGCCTTCAAGCTTACAGCGGAAGGTGTGTAATTTCTGTTTTGAGCGGACCCGATCCACACACCCCTGCCGCAATTGCAGTGACCTACGTCACCGCAACATCATCAGCAACACTCCACCCAAGTGCTTCCACTGTGGGCCACCAACTGCACCGCCATTCCCCTCAAATGCTTCCGCTGCAGCAACCAACACCGGGCAGACTCACTCTCCTGCCCGGACATCAAAGCCGCCGAAACCTCATTCCTCGCACATATGGACTTATTCAATGGAGGTTATTCAACATGGCTATATCCTCAGATATGAAAAACAAAGCTTCTCTTTCTAAGGAAAGGAAAACAAATGAAGCTTATTTTAGTTAAGGGCATTAGATGACCGTCTGTTTGCCACACACACAAAGTTGCCGGGAGGATCAGCCAATGAAAATGGAGGGAGCGGCCGGAATATATATATAGCTGAGGGGTCGTGGAATTTTCATTCGTGTTTCATGTTCGGCATGAGCCACACAGATTTGAGTTACGAGATACCCGATAGCTTACACGCGAGGCTCCTCGGACCCTCCCTTGACTGGACCTGCCGCTGGCACAATGGACCCTCTCTGGCTAGATGCTGTGATGCATCAATACATAAAAAAGCGACGCTCGGTCGATGAACCCTCCTGGCACTGGAGCCGGGCCTGTGACTACGGAGTTATTTCCCGATGGTGAGTTTCCCCGGGTATCTCCTTCTGCTCCTACTCCTATAGGGCCACTTGACTCGAATCATGCTTTTAGGAAAGGGCGGGAAGAGATTAATACGTGTTTCACAGGGTGCACCAGGATGGTTGTTGGAGAAATAGAAATGGCTTTAAAAGGGGAACAAGGCACAGCTCCTTACTGTACCATTTTCGATAAGGTCGGTATGCTTTCAAGCCTAGAAAACTCCGTTTTTGGGATACTATCTAGAAAACTCAAAGCCTGTGACTTAAAAACGGAGGAACTCCGAGAGGCTTACGAAAAAAAGCTTAAGGCCGCTACCGCCGCTATTCCCGCTCCTGCAGCAAAACCCGCTGCCAATTCAACTCCCAAATCACCCTGTGACGAAAACCACGCCGCCAGACAATGTCAGTCCAAACGAACCTTACATTCAAGCCCAGGCTAGCTATCTTTGGTATTCCTGGAGAGAAAACCGAGGAGCAGCTTGTGGCTGACATCAGATGCCATCCCGCTGTCGAAAAGCTGCTGAAAAGCGGCGACGACATCAGGATGGTAAAACTGATTAGAAAAGAGGGATCCTCCTCCACCGCGATAGTTGAGGTGAATAAGGAAGTTGAGACTGCTCTACTCGATCGCGGTAGTATCACAATAGACTACCTCTTCCTGAGACTCGCAAGGGCTAAGCGCGTCTTTCCCTGCGGTGTCTGTGGCAGCCTGAATCACAGGACCCACACCAACGGAAAGAAGTGTACCAGGGCGGCCAAATGCGGCCACTGCACTGGTGCACATCTGTCCGAGGCCTGTGACAACAAGGCATATATTTCTACCCTTTTAACGCTGCGTTTGTCCTGTGTGAAGTTAACAACTTGTGCATACTTCTGTGTAATGTCTATCTTTCGCCATCATGTTATGTTGGCAATCTTTTGAATAGGATAGACATCTCTCTCAAATCTATTAATTACCACGAGGCAATTTTCTGCGGCGATTCAAATATTGAATCTTACAGATGGTCAAATAAAGCCCGGTTGCTTAGATTCACTTGCCCTAAAAGAGATGCTGTAGAGAATTTCTCTGATGCCAACCTACTCCATATGGTCAACAAGCATGGTACCATTACGTGGGAGGAACGCAACATGTCCTCATCCATCGATGCGACCTGTTGCTGTGCTGGTCTCGTGGACAGGATCGCTGATTGCAACGCGATCAACCATGTTTTATCTGACCATAAACAACATCAATTTCGAGCCCTCATCCAATAGCAATAATAGTAATGTCATTCTGAATAAATTTTAGCGAAGTACACTTCAGCTTTGGCCGCGCCGACCAGTTCCTGATAGATAGAGTGAGTTACACATTTCAACTCGATAATATTATTACATTACTTAGAGATGAAGTGTTTCATTCATGCAGACAGACCATTCCTTCCAAGCCAAATAAACCTGGCAAAATAAAAAATGCATCTTGGTGGAAACCGGAATTTTATCTGCTCCAAAGGGCTACTCAGAAGGCCGAGGGCGTGTGGAGAACCGCTCGCAGGGCCGTTAGGAGTGTGTTAAGTCTTCCACAGAACAACCAGATTTCTGAAGGAGGGAGAGAGAGGGCTCAGGATCTAATCATCTTTTTTTTTTCTCAATTTGTGACCGTCCAGTGTGCATCGAGAATTGCCCTCTCCCCTGGATAAAAAAAAAGAACACACACCACTTGGGATACCCTCTTGGATTACCATTATCAACGCGGCGGGTACTTCCGCGTCTAGCCCAGGTCAAGCTCTCCAAAATAATGAGTCTCCCTGGGTCACTTCCTCTCCTCCTATCACACCTTCTGACTCCAACACAGCCTTTAGGGAAGGGTGGGAAGAGATTCCACTCACATTCAACAGCTTTAGGCAGATCCTACAATATGAAGTTGATGTAGGACTAGGTGGGGAACTGGGTTCTTCAGCTATTAAAAAATTATACGGCAAAATGGAAATGCTACTTTGCCAACTACAGACCACCGTTGTGGACGTTTTCAAACAGAAATTGAAGGGTTGCGATCTTAAAATTGCTGAGATTAGGGCGCAATACGCAGCCTCTGCTAAAAATGCAAACCTGCACCACCACCCAAACCAGCCACTGTGGTAACAAAAGTCACCCAGCCAACCAATGTTGGTGTTAAGCCAACCAAACCTACACGACCAAGTTACGTGCATATGCTGTGTAACAGCATTTATCACGTGGAGCTGTCTGTTAGTGAAATCGGGACAAAAATCGCCCAAACTCCCAGTTTAAAGAATGTTGATGTAGCCGCTGTGACTGGAGGGGACAAGAAACTTGTCCTCCACTTCGCCAACTCCTCTGAAAAAAAAGAGGTTTGTGGACAATGTTAAGTGCGCCAACAGGTTCAGTGGGGACGAATCCTACATTCAAGCCCAGGCTTGCTATATTCGGGATTCCTACTGAGAAAACTGAAGAGCAGGTTGTGGTTGTATTGTTTTCACACATTAAAAGCCAAAATACACAGGGTAAAAAAAAAAATTGAAAATAATTTTTAAAAGAAAGATAAAAGTGGCCAATGTCAGCAATTTGTTCCAAAGCGGTCGCTATCAACGCTCCATTTTGATTGGCTCTCAGCTACCCAGGTTTAGACTTTGGGTGCCTTATAAAACAGCGCTAATTTGCTGCTAATCAGTTCTCTCGATAACTTCAGCGAGTCCAGACATTCCCCCCACCAGTGGTAAGGATTCTGGATACTTCTGAAGTTAAAAGCTTTCCTTGATTTAGGATCGCTTCTCGCCAGTCCCTAGTGACCCCCCACCTGTGGTAAGGCACAGGGATACTGCATGAAGTAAGGACATCCACGTTATTAGTGGTGTCATATTAATCAAGGTTGCTAAAATAGGAAAAATTATTTTTACTTTTTTATACAACTCTACAGTGCCCGAGACTTCTTGTACTCCAGTGCCTCTGTGCTCCTGCGACTGAGTATTCCACCTGAATACACTCCTGGGCACCCTGCCAACCGAGAAAATTAATTAATTATTTCTGGACCTCCTGAGCGGCCGCCAAACGCCGATTCTCCCTCCCGGAATTTATTTTTGCCAATCAATACGCGGGTTCTCCTGAGCGGCCGCACACTGCCACTTGCCTTCTCCCTTCAGACGAGGACACTTCGTCCCTCTACCAAGCTGGCTCCTTTGCCTTCCCCCCTGAGCGGCGGCTCCTCCGCCCACCGCCGCGTACCTGCCAGTACGCCCCCCAACAGCCGCACGCCCGCCGCCAGACAACTAGCAAAAAGCCTGCTCTGACACGTGCCTCCATCTCAGCGCTTCCTCCAGAGACTACACCTCCACCCCCTCCCTCCGTCGCCTCCTTCTCACCTGGGGGCTCTCAGTCTTCCTCCCAAGACTCCTCTTCTCCCATATCCAACTCAGCCTACCAGAAGGTCGTCACCAGAATGTTCGACTCCCTATTGGACCCAACAATTGGAGGTAACCTCATCCATAGCAGCCGGCCTGGGGTAAGTGCTTCCACCCCTATCCATCCTCCATCAGCCACATCAAACTCAAGCTCAGAACAGGACCTAAATTTGTCACCACGTGACTTCACATTGACCTCACCTCCACCCTCCTTGCCCTACTCTATTACCTCCAACACGTCATCCTTGTACCAGGCATTCGATTGGGCGGCCAAAAACTGTACAATGCTGTGTCACCATATCAGTGACACAGACAGCAATCTTGGCGCATTTGTCATGTCACACCTCGACAAAATTATAGCCACCCTCAGAGATTCCTACACACGTAGGATCCATGAGCTAGAATATTCATCCTCACTGTTTTTGGCTGCCCAACCAAATCCCTCTACCCACCTCCCCCCTACTACTAAAATGTGCACCTTGCCCCTGTAACACCTACTACCACAGTTTTACCCATTTTTACATGAGTAAATTTAGGTTAGCCAGACGGCGATCCCTATTTAAGTAAATTCAAAACTGCCAAAGTAACCTTGTGCTACTTCCTGCACAAAGAAAATTCCATCAAAAGACTGTGCAACTATGTCTTACAGAGGAAAAGGGAGAAATTGGGGGCGTGGCTCGAATCAGCCTGATGATTCAGCCCCAGAACAGGCCGAGTGGCGTAGCGGTGTCAGCCGCCAGCCACGAAACGAGGAGAGATCTGCACCTCCCTCTCGCTCTTTTAAGGGCGGCAAGAATAAGGCCAGAAATCGGGTGGACTCCGCAGCAACGGCTCCACCTCCCCCAAGGGGTCAGGATCGGATCACAGAGATGCCGAAGCCTGCACACCCCTCAACGACGAGTACCCCACTCAGGAATGACCCCCTCTGGAAAGAGGCGTTAGGCGTAGCCCAGGACTCCAACCTCTACCCTGAGCCAGGCTACAGCCTTAAACATCCGGGGTTCTTCGGGTGGAACACCTTGGTGACAGAAACTTATATGCGCCTGGTTGCAGCCGGGGCATCCTTCGCCAAGCGTGTCTCACCTGGGACATTCGCATACTACGCTGGGCATCGAATTGTTTATTTTTAAAATGCGTTCTTTTGTCTTATTACCTTTTACTAATTTATAATATATATTTCGTATTTCTGATTCATTTGATTATAATTATAATTTCATCTTCTGTCATGCCTCGCAAAGGCCGTGGAAGACTCACTCCCCTTACCGCTAGACGTGCTAATATGACTCGCCGCAGGAACAAAACCCCAATTGCTATTTCTCTTGTTTACTTTTTTACCAATGCCTATAAATGTTTCACCTGAAAGATTTTTTATTTTATTTGTTATTCAATAAACTATTATCAATTAAAAAAAAAATTACTACGCTGGGCTCCACGCCATCGCGCGAGTTCTGAAGCTCGCAGATTTGAGCCCCCGTAGCACCACCATCCTGGAAAGAGACTATCAGAGCCATGGATCACGCAGGAACTCACATCCCTGAGCCCCTGTCCCTATTCCTTTCGGGACTAGGCGAGACTGCGTCACTGGATGGCGTGAAGTATACCTTCACCATGCCGACCTTCAACTACGTACCAGCAAACGACAACACTCCCGGCTGGTTTGGAAGGTTTAGCCAAGACACCCACTGGCTTTATATGAATTATCCGTGTTCTGGACTTTTGGCTTCCCGCATCCTGGCGGAACTAGGTTACATAATTATAGGAAAAATATTGATTACACACAATTATTAAAATATATTAGAGTAAAAGACATGTTTTTACACACACAAAGTAGGGTGAACTTTTCTTGCATCTAACTTTTTCCCTGATCAAAACAGGCGTAAGGAACTAAAATTTAAGCCAATTTAAATTTAAGACAAAAAAGATGGCCAATGTAAACCCAGACAGTGAACACCCCCCGGGGGAATGGGCCCCCTTTGCGGATGACCCGGTGGTCATGCCACCCATGCCAGGTCCCTCGGCCGGGCCTTCGGATCCTCCCATCGAGGCCCTATGCAAGATGGATTGGGGAGAGGTCCCCGAAAACCCCCAAGCAACCATCGCTTGGGTCGAATTCAGGGCCAAGGCCCTCTTTAGGTCCAACACCGCCTACCTTGCCACCCTCAGTAAGGACCTCCAATACAATGGGTTTAGCCCGGAGGCCACCTTTAAGGCGCTGCTGGCCTGTGTTGGGGGAAAGGCCGAAATCCTGGCCAGGGACATGCCCCCGGTCTTCCTCCTCATCGCCATGAGGGGGTTCTCCCCAAATAAAATAAAAAAGAGGAGCACCCAGAAGGCCCTCAAATTCATTGAGGACATCCAGACCCGATACAAGATATAGGATAAACCGGAAGGGGAGCTGTCCCCAGATGTCATCACCTTCGGCCGCATGGTCGCCCTCTTGCCGGGTCTCATGCTGGAGGCCATGGGCCACCCATTGGCCCGCATTGTGGGAGAAAAGCCCCCCGAGCTCCCCAACTCCATGGCATTCGCAGGATGCCTGGCAGTGTTCCCCCGGGCCCCGAATAATGTGGAGGCGGCCCACTTCTTCCACTGGGCCAGATGGCATGGCAATTTTGCCAGAACCATCAAGGCCGATGCCAACCTGGATGCCCAATATGCCACATGGGCTGCCCCCGCTCGGGATGAGGACCGCCGCCTCATTCTCACACCCTACCTCACTGCCGGCCTGAAGGTGGTGGCCACCACAGAGCAGCTGGAGGCTCTGGGTGAGAAATACCTCCACCAGGGGATCCGGGAGGCCATCATTCGGGGTTTTAAACGAATAATTCCTGAGGGCGAAAGTGGTGTGGAGGCTCAGGGAACCACACCACTGACGCCCCCCCTCAGGAATTGGCCGACCTCGAGGTGGCCACAAACTCCCTCCTTCTCCCGGAAGAGCCCTACCCATCAATCTCCGGGGGGAGGCAGCCTGACCGTCAAGTCAAGAAACCTTCTCTTCAACAGAAGAAAAAAAGACCCCAAGGGCCCAATAGGAAGAAGTAATTCCTCTCTTCCTTTTGGTTTTTTGGTTTTATTTTTTATATCAATATTTACCCCTCATTTTTTTAATTTCCCTATTAATTAATTTTTAACTAAATCTTGTCATTTAATCTTTTCCATATTTACTCTTTAGTTTCCTTCCTACAACACCATTAGGTTCGACAGAACCAGGTCCACACACCCCAGGGCTACAACACCATTAGGTTCGAAAGAACCAGATCCACACAACCCTAGGTTACAACACCATTAGGTTCGACAGAACTAGGTCCACACACCCCTGGGCTAAAACACCATTGGGTTTGAAAGAACCAGGTCCACACACCCCTGGGCTACAACACCATTAGGTTCGACAGAACCAGGTCCACACACCCCTGGGCTACAACACCATTAGGTTCGACAGAACCAGGTCCACACACCCCTGGGCTACAACACCATTAGGTTCGACAGAACCAGGTCCACACACCCCTGGGCTACAACACCATTAGGTTTGGTTAGGTTAGGCTTAGGTTTGGTATACTTTTTAATTTAAAAATGGAGATAAATTGTTTAGGTAAAAAAATGTTTCCTATGCTGGAAACACTTATGGGAAATATTTCCACATTCTTAAATGCCAAAAATCCGAAAATGGATGCTCAAAAAAAGATTTTAAATTTAATTCAAACAGATATGAATGAATTTATAAAAGTTTAACCAGAAAATGTAGAAAATATGGCTTTTAATACTAAATTGGATGATTTATTAAAGAATCAAGAAAATATTATTGAAAATATTCAAAAAAATTTTGAGGAAAAAATTGATGATTTAAAAAAATCTACTCAAGATTTAATAAGTGAAAATAATGCTCTAATCGATGAAAAATTGAAAATATTAATGGAAAAAAGTGAGAAAAGTTATAGTGCAGCTTTGGCTTCTAACATACCAATTGCACCAACTTCCATAGCCCAGCCAAAAAGTTCCCCTAATCTAATAGGGAAAATATTAATTGAATCAAAACTCCCTGAAAATACCAATATAGTGCAATTCCCTAAGGAAAATATTTCTTTGTCTAATCTAAAAATAGTTAGAGCCAATGCTATTCCCAACAAAAAGGGATGCACAATAGAAGTTCCCACATTAGAAAATGTAAACACAATAGTAAATTTCATAAATGAAAATGAACATCTTAGGTCCAAGCTAATTCCAAAAGTTCCCAAAGGTAGGTCTCCTACAATTAAAATATTAAATGTTGAAGAAGATTTTGGCAAAGAACATATAATAGATTATTTCAAAGAAAGTTTAAATTTACCTAATGCTGAATTAAAACCGTTTAGTGTATATAAAAACAAATTTAACAAATATGATTGGCTTATAAATATTGATTCAAACACATTTTCACAATTGAAAAATAGATCAACAATTGAAAATAATTTATACAGATTTAGATTTGGATGGAGAGTAATCAAATGGACGGAAATTTTTCTTGTTAATAGATGCACTAAATGTCTTGATTTTCATAAATATAAAAACTGTAAAGAATCAGAAAACACTTGTGCGAAATGTGGTAGCAAGGGCCACATTTCTAAATCATGTACAAAAACAGAAAATTGTATAAACTGTAAAAAAGCTAATAGTAAAAATCCTACACTTAAATTGAACACACAACATAATGCTTTCAGTACAGACTGCCCTTGCTATATACATACATCGAATTAATTTATTGAAAAAAGACATTCTTTATATATAATTTGCTATTTAATATTTGTCCCTATTTACTCATTTATTTATTCTTTCACAATTAATTTTTGAAAATGGCAAAATAACTCCCATTATCCCTATTTGTTTTTCTGCAGCTTTTCTTATAAAAAAAATATTAAAATTTAGAATTAAGCTTTGCTTTTTTATATACATATTTTTTACACATTTAGCAATATATATACCAAAATTTTTTTTAGAATATTTAACTCTTTTAGTGAACTTTTGTCGGGGGGCTGCAGAAATGCCGTATTTATACACTATTTGGATGCTTTTTTTATGAAAAAAATATTAGGACTCAGAATTAAGCTTTGTTTTTTTTTATGTACATGTTATTTATACTTTTAGCAATATATATGTCATAATTTGTACATACATAGATGCCAATAGTCAATCCAATATGTATAAAATGTATGATTTGTTTCAATAAAAGAACAAAGATAACATTGGAGGATAGAAAGACTTAGAAGAAAGGCCTAGAAAAGAGGCTTAGAAGTTAGCACCATCATTAGGAAAGTTATACCCCGTTTTATTATCGCGGAACTAATAAAAAGTTGAGTTCAACAAACTATTACTTCCTGGTCAAGCTGGGACATGTTTTAGGATAAAGAAGTAACGTAGACCAATAGGGAACCGCCACGTCACACCTTTCCACCAATGGGAAGTAAGAAGGGTTCTCGTGTTAAATCGAGAACCAAGAATTGTCAGTTGTCGCTTCGCTCCCCCCGAGGTAACACCTGCTCTAGAGACCTCCCCCGTTCATCCTTTTCAGCTAAGTCAATCACCGCCATGTGATTAGATAGTTAATAGACAATCCGCTCCATCTTCTCCAAAGCCTTTCTTTCCTCCGACCAGTTGCCTTTTATTTCCAAAACCCCATCACGTGTCCTGGTTATTCCCCACTGTATGCTTCACTTTCCACTCAAACGACTGCGCTTCCAACAATCTACACCATTCTCATCCAACAACAAGAAATTCCGCAACGATATTGCGACAGACGGATTAAGTCGACAGGATAAAGAGATGGAGATTAACCAAGATTCAATCGGCGTAAAGAAGGACGACCCAACGAAAGAAAGGGAAGAAGGCAGCAGACAGGAAATGACCGGCAGAGAGGAGACGGGCCCTCTAGCGGATGTCATTCAGCAGTTCACCGCCGCGCTGTCCCAGGGTAGGTCATGCGACCCTACAGGACCGACAATCTCGCCTTTCAATGGAACATACAGCGCGATCCAGTTTTTCCAAGTATTCGACCGGAAAATGGAAGACGCCGCCATAGAAGAAAAAGAAAAACTGCTCCGTCTACCAAACTACCTGGTGCGACAACCCCTGGAGCTTTTCAGGAAACTTCGGCTGGCCGACCGGAGCTATTTCCAGGTGAGACAAATCCTCTTAGATCTCTATCCTGAGTCGAGCGAAGCATCCTTTGCAAAATATTTCGCCATGAAGCTTACTGGACAAGCCAACCTAGAGACCTACTACCGGGAGAAAACCGCCATGGGGCTACAACTAGGACTCCCGCAGGTGATCCTCGAGACGCTGACAGAAGGGTTGCCATTCTCCGACCAGCGTCTAGTCCGCGTAGTGCCTCCCGAGAACCTAGGAGAGTGGTTCCGACTGATACAGCGGATCCACGGGCCCAGTGTACCGACAACACGACACAGAGAGGACCAACCAACCCGCCCACGATGTCGGGTCCGTACCACAACACACCTCGACGCCCAGGTGCCTGGAATGCACCTCTTCCACCGTCCAACTGTAAGTTCTGCGGCGCGAGACACTGGCACAGCGAATGCCGGCATCGACCAGTCCCGGCGACCCACGAAAAAGACCGGACAGTGCAATCAGTCCCGAGCAACCGATATCAAAGTGCAATCAGTCCCAAAGCAACCAGTCCCGAGTCCCCAGCAACCAAGTCAAGCCAGAGACACCCCAGCAGAGCAGACTTTTCGAGACTGAGGTAGGCTCCCTAACCCAACTGACTGTAAAACTTTTCCTAGCCCCTAATATACCATGCCCCTTTTTAATTGATACAGGCGCCAGCCTGAATATAGTGCCATATAACCTCTACCATATGTTAAAAACTCACCTGCCTAAGTTAACCCTTAAGAGACATTCACTGGATCTCCAAACCCTGGATGGTTTTGCAAAAACAATGGGTAAACTGTCTCTCCCTCTAACCATAGGACAAATATCCCGAAGAGAGAATTTCCATGTAGTGAATGCACCGTTACCATTTGGAATTCTTAGCCTTAATAGCCTCCACAAATTCAAATTAGCAATAGATTTTAATAAATGCACTATATTCCAGCTGGGCGCCCCATTGTCTACCCCATCCTACCATTTTAACCATGTACCAAATGTATGCACCTACTGGCAATGTCAGGCGATGTCACAAAGATCTTACCATACAGCCAAACCTTCCGCCTATGACAACCATTGCGTGCATTCATTGAAAAAAAACCCCTTATCTACATGCCATTTTTTCACTAAGGCCAATTGCCTTTTTTACATGCCCTCAAATAACAATGCCACCACGGCTTCAATTGGTAACCAGAATGCCCAAAACATACCCCTACAGCGGGACAACTCGCATACCAAGCACATAGGTGATCATACGTCGTCACACAAATATCACATGACAAACCCACACCACGAACTCGACACTCACACTAAGACCCAACAAAATCCTTTACCACATACATGCTACAACACGACACACAATCCTCTCTATACACCCCAGTTCACAACACTTTTACAAAGATACAATCACATCTTCACACAGAACAAATTCAACATACCATGCTTACGGATTCCACCCGTAAAAATACCCACGAATTCCGACAAAATAATTACCATACGGCCATATCGTGTCCCGATATGTGACCAACAAGAAATCCGTAATCAAGTCCAACAAATGCTGGAGAATGGCATTATAGAGCAATCCTTTTCACCTTTCTCGAGCCCTGTCACCCTCGTCACTAAGCGCGACAAGACCAAACGGTTTTGTATCGATTATAGAAAGGTGAACGAGCTAATTAGCTCTGATGTCCATCCCCTCCCGAGAATCGAGGATATCCTCGACCGCCTCGCACAGGCCAAGTATTTCTCCACGGCCGACATATCCTCTGCGTATTGGCAGGTCCCAATACACCCAGATTCTCGACCACTGTTAGCATTTGCCACCCTCGAAGGGTTATACCAACCCACTCGATTACCTTTCGGATTAAAAACTAGCCCTCAGATCTACGAACGAGCATTAGTCAGGTCGTACAGAGACACGGACTTGACTGTGTGGCACATTACTTTGATGATTTCATCATTTACTCCAACACATTGGAGGAACATCAAAACCACCTGCGACAATTTTTCGCCTTTTGCGAAGCAGAGGAGTTACAACTTAACTTCGCGAAATGCAAATTTTTTAAGCAGTCAATAGATTTCCTAGGCTACACCGTCACAGCTGGTACAACCACACCGCTCACACGCAACACAGACATCATTCACGCCATTAAACAACCACACAACCGAAAAACACTACAATCCTTTTTAGGCGCTGTGAACGTCTATAACAAATTCATCCCGGACTACGCTCGCTTGCGAGCACCACTCAATAACCTCCTCAAAAAGGATGTCGTGTGGATCTGGGATGAAGCTTGCCAAAAGGCGTTCAGTGACCTGTTAAAACTATTTTACCGATCATTACTTTTGTACATGTCCGTGAAGCAGACCAAGAAACCATTTTTATACCATTTCTTGAAAAAACACCTAACCTTGAAACCTATGGAGAAGATCTCAAATGGCTCGGGCAAAACCTTTTCCAAATTAAATGGATAGACGAGAGAAAATATAGGTCTACTAAAGAAGACCATTTAGTTTTCAAGGATTGGGACATTTTCAAAGGAAGAAAAGTTGGTCAGTCTGCAACTTGTTTCTTTAACAGCAAAAGACGGTTCAGAAGAGCTATCCAAAAAATAAAACAAATTAAAATGGAGGAATCACTTTTGAATACAGATTTTAAAGTCTTAGACCTCCTCTCCTCGAAGGCCAGGGCCTATAAGCGCGGACCCCTCCTAACACCCCCGCAGAGCAATGCTCTCGCCGGTGTAATTAACCAACTCCTTGACCTGAGGCCCGGAGGCAATTCCAACATCTATAAAGTTCTACATCAGGTCAAGGCGGAGCTGAAAACCTCACCAGCCGCAGTGCCTCCAACACCCCCACTGCCTGCGACTCGGCCTGCCGAGCCAACACCACCCGCTCTCCACGGGGAAAGGACGTCGCCGGACATCGCGACACCTCCACCTCCTCTGTCTACCCAATTCATAGATGCCTGCTACGACCAGGCAGGCGATATTATATATGCGTTGAGCCGTGAGTGCTTCTCGGAGCCCTTATCCAACATAGGAGTCACAGAGTGACATCGTGGAGGCGATTATTTTCCCCGTGGATAGGGAACCTCTCCTCAGGCGCCTCTCCACTCAGAAGAGAACCACTCTTGCCGAGATCATCAGCGCTGCATCTGAATGCGCTCGGAACTCAGATCCCTTTGTGCGTGAGGGCCTACGCATACTCAGCGAAATGCTCCCCCCCCCCTAATCTGTAAATTTTCACATTAACTCTTGATTGAGTGTAATTATTGACTAGATCGTCAATAAAGTCTGTTTTAATTGTCAAATTGTCCTCCACCCCTGTTAAAACTATTTTACCGATCATTACTTTTGTACATAGAATGAAGGACTTAGGTGAAGGGAGACGAGGGGAAAAGATGAATGAAATGGTCAAGACATCTACATGGTCGGGGAAAGTCCCAGCTGGGGCCGATCAGGGCAAAGGTCGGCAGATGCCCGGGGAGGCAGTCACGTGGACGCCTGCAATGTGATTGGTTGTTCTGCGAGCCCCGGGACGGCGCGTCATGTTGCATCATCTTTTGTTAGAAGCAGCGGACCAGGGGGAGAGTTGAGTTCGCTTGCCAGGCGGAGCAGACGCGCCAGAGAAATATCCTACAAGCAGCGACTTGTGGACGGAAAGATGTCTAAGAAATATCCTACAAGCAGCGTCTTGTGGACAGAAAGAAGTCTAAGAAATATCCCACAAGCAGAGTCTTGTGGACGGAAAGGACACCTTGGAGTATCCCTCACGCGGCAACTTGAGAGCGGAAAGGACGCCTTGGACATCGAACGAGCCGCGACAAGTGGAACCCAAGCTAAGCCAGCGACGGTGCTGCCACCCGAGGTACTGTACAAACACAACGCTCGACACCCGCCCCTGCCACTTATTTTTATCTCCCTTCCCTAAGATTAGCTAATTTTACTTTTTTTGCTTGACTTTTTTTTCTTGTTTTTATGCATAATTCTTTATATATAAGTATAATAGTTTTTAGCCCTTTGTTTTAATTTAAAAAAAAAACCTTTTGTTATACCGTGTGAATGTGCATTTATTTCCCCCATTGTTTTTCCTTTCAATCGATCACCCTTTTTTTTTTTTTAACGAACACGAACAACCCCTCTTCACCCTACCTCATCTACATATGTTCACATGCCACCTCACCTACGCCAACCACCACAACAACACTACACCCCCGACTCACCTCCACCCACATGTAATCTTTTCCCCACCAACAACCCCTCACACCTCCTACATCTAACCTGGGCCTACAACATCCTTGCCCCTAATGCTGACTCTTTTGACCCTACCCTTGCCGATTGTTTCCGCAATGACCTCAAAAAAACTTTCACACACATCTCCAACACATAACAGCAACGCCTCCTCGAGGCCAACAGCGCCACAAACGTCCTCACTCATCTCCTTAAACAAAATTTGCTTGCATCCTCTCCTTGCCCACCTATGCCTCCCCCTGCCTCCTCCACCCCCCCCCCCTCCTCACCAAACGTTCCTCCTCCCCCCAGCTTTCACCCGCCTCCCCATCTTCCTCCTCCCCCACCCCTGTACCCAGCTCCTCACCCCATTCCACTCCACTCATGCCCATCCCTAACTCGTTCGCCGGGGTCGCCTCCCGACCGCCTCCCGCTAACCCCCCACCCCACCAACCCCCCCCACGACACTCAACCCCCAACCCTCCCCGCCGCCCCCCTCCCCATTCCAACCGCAACAACCCCTTCCACATCATCACCCAGGACCCCTCTGCTTGCACCCCCATCGACAACAACCTCAACTCAAAAATTTCCTTCTCCTCCCTCAATACTCCCTCCACCCAAATCACTAACATCTTCTGCGCCCGTAACAAGATCATCATACACACTAACTCCAAAAATAGCATGGACTCTATCTACGCCAAGCTCAAAAATGCCACCAACGGCACAAACATCAGCGTCAACCTCCCCCCCACCTTTAAACCCCGCTTTACCCTCTTCAACCTCCCCAACACTATCCCACTCAGCGACCTGCCCTCCCTTCTCACCCAATCAATAGGCACTGACTGCAAACTCATTAGAACTTTACCGGCCGCAACAACTCAACACACGCGGTCATCGAAACCGACTCCGACACTGCCACCCAACTGCAATCTCGAACCCGTCTCTTTTTGGGATATAACTCAATCAGGTTCGACAGAACCAGATCAACTCACCCTGCCGTAACTGCGGTGACATCCGTCACCTAATGTAATTTGCAATAAGCCCTCCAGATGCCTCCATTGCGGCGAAGGCCACATCACCAACAACTGCACCTCCACCACCCTCCCCCCTAAATGTTTCCGCTGCAACGGCAATGGCCAACACCGGGCGGACTCTCTCTCCTGCCCGGTCATCAAGGGCGCTGAAACCACATTCCGTAGCACCCACAACCTGCCCTAAATGCTTAAGTTCTTACAGCTTAACTGTAACCGATCCCTCCCTTGCTACCTCTCCTTACTACAATTTGCCCGGTCCTCCCATATAGATATCCTTCTCCTTCAAGAACTCCCGGTCCTTGACAATGCCCTTCCCTCCCCATTTCCCACCCCCTCCTCCTCCATGCTCCTATCTCTAACAACCGGTGTAACACCTGTATAATTGTTCTTAACCAAAGCCTTCCCGTCATTTTCCTCCCACGACTCTCCGCCACCAGCCGCACCCTTGCAATCCTTGACATCCCCGGCTTTCACCTTACTCTCTGCTCCGTATACTTCCCCCACCACACTTCTTACTCCCCCATCGTCGACTCCTTTATCTCCCTCTTTGGCTCCCCACCCCCTCCCCGCCTTCTCTTCGCTGGAGACGTCAACGCTGTTTCCTCCCGCTGGAGCTCACAAAAACAAAACTCTAAAGGCTCTCTTATTAACACCCTTCTCGACGCCCTCGACCTCAAGGTCTGTAACACCTGGGGAGCTATCACCCGCTCCCAGGGCTCCAGCTCCTCCTCCATTGACATCTCCAGCGTCTCTTCCTCTATCCTCTCCTCCGTCTCCGGGTGGACCTCATACCCTACCGACCTTTCCGACCACTATGAGATCTGCTTCTCCCTTTCCCTTCCACCCGACACCACTGTCCTGAAACCCGAAGCTTTAGGCAGATCCTACAATATGAAGTTGGTATAGGACTAGGTGGGGAACTGGGTGAAATCGACACGTCCTTTAAGGGTTGCCGCCAAATTCTGCAACATGAGGTAGGGCTAAGGCTCAGCGGGTATCTAGGTTCCACAGAGAATAAAAATCTCTACTTGAAAATAGATGGTCTGCTCTACCAGCTCCAAAACACTGTTGTAAGCATCCTTCAGCATAAGCTGAAGTGCTGTGACCTTAAAGTCGCAGAAATCAAAGCTGAACTATCAGCCTCTAAAAAACCAACCGTCGCTCCCAGACCTCCCAAACCAACCCCAGTGGTGACAAAAGTCACTCAGCCAACCAGCGCAGGTGCTAAGCCTGTCAAACCAACTAAACCCAGTTACACGCATATGCTGCGTAACAGCACCAACCACGCGAAGCTCGCTTCCGCGGACCTCAATGTTAGCGAGATCAGGGCAAAAAAATCGCCTAGACTCCTAGTTTGAAGAACTGTGATGTAGCCGCGGTGACAGGGGGATAAAAAAACTTGTCCACTACTTCGCCAACCCCTCTGAGAAAAAGAGGTTTGTGGACAACGTTAAGTCCGCCAACATTGGTAGACTTAAAGTCCAGACGAATCCTACATCAACTCTCCATTTTTATTGGCTCTCAGCTACCCAGGTTTAGACTTCGGGGCGCCTTATAAAATGGCACCAATATGATGCTGTAAGTCGCCGCGGACTCCGGCCGCACGGTTCCTCCTTCTGCGCTCCTGCCTCCGCGGTGTCCGCTGCCTTCTCCCCGCGGGTTCCCCTGCCGTGGGACCACCTCCACCCTGTCCTGCCCTCGGAACTTCTTGGCCAAATTCAGTTGCCGAGCGATTGCTCATTTTAATTCCTCGGTCCTCCCGGGCGGCCGCCTACCACCGTCCATCGCCCTGATTTATTTCCCGCGGGCGTCCAATCGGAGCGCTTGACCTCCTGAGCGGCCGCACGCCGCCACTCGACCTCCCTCCACTGCGTGGAGAGCTCCCAACCTCCGCCGCGCTGGCTTCACCGCCCTCCCCTGCGAGCGGTGGCCGCGCCGCCCGCCGCCGCGCATCCGGTGGCTCGCCCGCCCGCCACCGCGCGCCCACCGGCGGGTCCGCTCCTGCCTGCGCCCTCTTCCCAGCGCCCCCCATGGGGGCCACCCCCACCTCTTCAGCTCCAGGGGGCACTCCGCCCTCCCCCGGGGGCCACCCCCACCTCTCCAGCTCCAGTGGGCACCCCGCCCTCCCTGGGGGCCACCCCCACCTCTGACACCTCTTCTACTCCAGGGGGCTCCCTGCCCCTCTCCCAAGATTCCTCCACCTCCTCTCCTGACACTGACTCCTCCTGCCTTGACGACCATCCAAGCATGTTCAACTCCCAGTTCGACCCTACCTTTGGCGGTGACCTTGACCTTGGCAGTCAACCTGGGGTGAGCTCCTCCACCCCTCTTCACCCTACCCCTGCTACATATGTCCACACGCCACTCCACCTACACCAACCACCACCACAACACTACACCCCCGACTCACCTCCACCCACATGCAACCTATTCCCCACAAACAACCCCTCACACCTACTACATCTTACCTGGGCTTACCATATCCTTGCCCCTTACGCTGATTCCCTTGAACCTACCCTTGCTGTTTGCTTTCGTAATGATCTTAAAAAAACCTTTGCACATATGTCTAACACATACCAGCAACGCCTCCTCGAGGCCAACAGCGCCACAAACGTCCTCACTCACCTCCTCAAACAAAATTTGCTCACATCCTCTCCTTGCCCACCTGTCCCTCCCCCTGCCTCCTCCACCCCCCCCTCCTCACCCCTCCCCTTACGTTCCTCCTCCCCCCCAGCTTCCACCCGCCTCCCCATCTTCCTCCTCCCCCACCCCTGTACCCAGCTCCTCACCCCCTTCCACTCCACTCCTGCCACTCGCTTGTTCCTTCTGTACATAACCCTTTCCCCCGCTGCTCTTGCCCTTGTCTTTGTTTGTACCTCCTATTTGTAATTTTGTTTGCTTGGAAAAAAAAAAAAAAATTAATATTTAATAGATAATATAGTATAATCTTAACCTCCGGTGCCGTGGAGGTTACGTCCCTGGCGCTCTGGGGCGTAGACCACTTGCTCGGAGCCTGGCGCAGTGCTTGGTGTCGCCTTGGTTCCCTCACTATCCGCGCTCTCGCCCTCTTCTCCCCCGGGACGCCCACGGCTCCGCCGGCGTCTCTCCAGCCCTCTCCTTGGCCCTCCAGTGCGGCGGGCTCACGGTGACCCCCAACGTTGATTTGTGCCTTAGAATGCTAACCTGATAGCATGTAGAAGGCGGAATAATTGTCATCAATATGATGCTGTAACTTCAACGAGTCCAGATATTCCCCCCACCAGTGGTAAGGATTCTGGATACTCTTGGAGTCAAAAGCTTCCCTTGAATTAGGATCGCTTCTTGCCAGTCCCTAGTGACCCCCCACCCGTGGTAAGGCACAGGGATACTGCCTGAAGTAAGGGCATCCACTCTTTTTGGTGGTGTCAGCATATTCAAGGAGGCTAAATAGGAATTTTCTATAGTGCTTCCGGTCTCCTGTGCTACTGTGCTCCTGTTCCCCAGCGCCCAGCCCCAATCCACCAAAAACCAGAAGAGGATAAAAATTATTTTTATTCCCCGGATCTCTTGGACGGCCGCAATACGCCATTTATCCTTCCCAGATTTTTTTCTGCCCGCAGCCAATGAAAATGCGGGCTCTCCTTCGACACCGACGAGCGCGGTCCCTCCGTCCGCCGCGCTGAACTCCCAGCTCCCCTCCCCAGGCGACAGCAACACCACACGCCGCCGCGGGCCCAGCAACTCACCTGTCCGCCCCAGCGCACCAGTCCACCATTCCCCCACCCGCCGAGGACCTACCCCTACTAGAACCCCTTCTCCCACACCCCTCCTGGATACTACACCCCACCCCCCAGACGTCTCTTTTTCCAGGGAGGACTCCACCAACTCTCCCCAAGACTGCACCTCCACTTCAAGTGCGGATTCCTCCAGGGATGAACTGCGCCCCAGCATCTTCGACAGCCACCTGGACCGCACAATCGGCGGCCCTCTCAACGGTCAACCAGGGGTGAGTGAACCTACCCCTCCTCATCCCCCAGTCACCACCACCCACACTCCCTACAAGCCACACCACCTTCGCAATTCCGACTATACCATTGACTCCCCCCCATTGTTATGCAATCTGTTCCCAATCAACAACAACTCCCACCTCCTAGCTCCTTTCTCACATGGTCTCACCCCTTCAATCGCCGACCAATTCAGAACCACCCTCGACATAACATTCACACACCTCACACAGACATACAACCAGCGCCTCATAGAGGCCAACCACACCAACAACATCCTCACATACAAACTTACACAACCACCCTCACACCACCCCACTGAACCTTCCACTACCACCCTAACCCCCCCATTCCTCCTCCTAAAACTCCTCATCCTTCCCCTCCTAACCCTCTTCCTCTATCTCCCCCTATCCCTCAACCCCTGCCCACCCCCTCCTCCCCAAATCCTCTCCTGACTCTTTTGCCAGAGCCGCCTCCCTTCCCCCTTCTGCTACTCCCTCTCTCCCCATCCCCTCCTCCCGCCACACCACACACTTCCCATCCCACCGCCCCACACCCCCCTCCAACCGCAACAACCCCTTCCATATATTAATCACCCAAGACCCCTCCATCAACACCCCCATCGACACCAACCTATACACAAAAATTTTCATCTCCTCCCTTACCACGCCCACCACACCAATCACCAACATACACCGCACACGCAACAAACTAACCATACATACAAACACTAAAAACAACATGACAAACATCTATACAAAACTGATAAATGCCACTAGGGGAACAAACATCAAGGTGCACCTGTCCCCTACATTCAAACCACGCTATACCCTCTTTAACATTCCCGACTCTCCCAATAAACGACCTTCCCACACTACTCAACCAATCCGTGGGCGCCGGCTGTAGGCTAGTCCGTACAATGGCTGCGCGCAACAACAACAAACACGCCATCATAGAGACTGACACCGCTACAGCCAGGGACCTCCAGTCGCGTTCTCGCCTCTTCATTGGTTTTAGCTCTATCAGGTTCGAGCGAACAAGAACAACGCACCCTTGCCGCTCCTGTGGCAACCTACGCCAACACAACGACTGCCCCAAACGGGCCAAGTGTTTGCACTGTGGGGAGGGCCACACCATCAACGACTGTGCAGCAATCTCCTCTCCCCCTAGATGCTTCCGGTGCAGCAGCAACAACCAACACCGGGCGGATTCCCTTGCCTGCCCGATCATTAAGGCGGCAGAGTCTGCCTTCCTCACAACGCATGGAATCCCATGATTAGGTTCCTGCAGCTAAATTGCAACCGTTCCCTCCCCTGCTTCCTCTCTATTCTCGAAACCGCGCAGTCCTCTCACATAGATATCCTCCTGCTTCAAGAACTGCCGGTCCGTAAAGGCCTTCTCGCCTCTCCCTTCCCAATCCCCTCCGCCTCTTTCCTTCACGCTCCCATCACACAGAACAAGTGCAGCACCTGCATCATGGTTCTTAACCAGAGCCTGCCTGTGGTCTTCCTCCCTCGCCTTTCTACCACCAACCGTACCCTCGCCATTCTCGACATCCCAGGCTTCCATCTCACTATCTGCTCTGTTTACTTCCCACACAAAGCTTCTTATTCCCCCATAGTAGACTCCTTCCTCACTCTCTTCGGCTCCCCACCTCCTCCTCGCCTTCTGTTCGCTGGAGATGTCAATGCCGTCTCCTCCCTGGAGTTCCCTGGTTCTGTAGAGGCCACTTCTGGGGCCTCCATAAAGTTCACCCACAGTATCAATGGAAAGCTGGTGGACAATGAAGAAGCTGCCTCGACAAGAAAGAAGCGGACTTCGAGCATTCTTCTTTGTCAAACCAGCCCATCTCTTCACCTCCTTTTTATCTCCAATTTTTGCATATAAATTATAATAAATTTCATTTTTCTTTTAAATAAGCAGCTATTTGGGTTTTCTTTTTTTTTTAATATTTTAAAATTAATATTCCGAATGATAATTTTTATTATAATTTTTTTTTTTATTTTTAAAAATTTCTTTTTTTTATCACAGAGGGTGACCAGATAAAGATTTATTATTAATTCTTTTTTTTTTTCGGTCACCCTGGGGAGAAAAAGTCACGAGCAAGCTTTAGTGAGAGTCGGTCTTAGAGATAAGATAGGATAGAAAAGCTCGTAAAAAAATCACAAAAAAGTAGTTCTACAAGATTTTAAGGGAGGGATTTCCAAGCCATCCAGCTGAAGCACTAAAGTTAAGTATCTTCCAATAATGATTTTTTTTAATAAGTATATTCTTGTAAATTTTCCCACTCAATCCTCATTGCCCGTTTCATTTATTTTATTCTTATCTTTGTATGACTGTTCTAAGAAATAAATAAATATATTGTCATCTTAATCCAAACATATAGTTGTCTGTCATTCTTTTTTTTTTAACCCCAGTGCGTGCAGGACACATGTAAATTATACCTTTTATATAGCAGGATGTATTATTTTCGTGAACTCCCTGAGAATGAAAGGGGCTCATGGATTTCGGGACGATAGCGTCAGAAATTCAGCTCATCAGTTCTACCCATTTTCTGCAAACCTCCCCATCTTCTAATTGACAACACCACCCTCTCCTGTCCCGACACCCGAAGCTTTAGGCAGATCCTACAATATGAAATTGGTGTAGGTCTAGGTGGGGAACTGGGTTGAAGGGTTGCGATCTTAAAATTGCTGAGATTAGGGCGCAATACGCAGCCTCTGCTAAAAATGCCAAACCTGCACCACCACCCAATGTTGGTGTTAAGCCAACCAAACCTACACTACCAAGTTACGTGCATATGCTGCGTAACAGCATTAATCATGCGGAGCTGTCTGTTAGTGAAATCAGGGCAAAAATCACCCAAACTCCCTGTTTAAAGAATGTGGCTTGCTATCTTCGGTATTCCTGGAGAGAAAACTGAGGAGCAGCTTGTGGCTGATATTAGTAACCATCCCGCTGTCGAAAAGCTGCTGAAAAGTGGCAAAGACATCAGGATGGTGAAACTAATTAGGAAAGAGGGTGCCCCCTCAACCGCGATAGTGGAAGTAAACAAGGAAGTTGAGACTGCCTTCCTCTCGCTAGAGCAAAGCGCGTCTTCCCATATGGTGTCTGTGGCAGTTTAAGTCACAGGACCCACACCAACGGAAAGAAGTGCACTAGGGCGGCTAAATGTAGCCACTGCGCTGGTGCACATCTTTCCGAAACCTGTGAAAATAAAACAGCATTGAAATGTCACAGGTGTGGCGACAAACACAGTGCCAACTCCATGGCGTGCAAACACATGCGGGAGGCACAGGGTAATTTCAATAAATTGTTGGTGCGATGAACGTTCTTAAGTGTGTTCAAGCCAATGTAAGACGCTCTCCATAATGTTTGTACTCCTTGTTGAATGAATGTCGCGAGGAAAAATCGGATGTGCTTTTGTTGCAAGAACTCCCAGTTTCCAAAAACAATTTACCATCACTACCTGTGCCCCTTGACAGGGTTTGTCACGGTCCAATAATCGAAAATAAATTGGGAGCAGCTGTAATAATAGCAAATCCGAATTTAAAAATCATACACTTGTCTCACTTGTCTTGTGTGAATGCTGTATTTGTCCTGTGCGAAGTGAATGACTTGTCAATCCTTCTGTGTACTGTTTATCTTTCACCATCATGTTGTAAAATCATTGTTGTAAATAAATTTACTTTTCATTGTTTGTATTCTTTATTGTAAATAAATGTACTTTTCAATGTTTGTATTCTTTATTGTAAATAAATGTACTTTTCAATGTTTGTATTCTTTATTGTAAATAAATGCACTTTTCAATGTTTGTATTCTTTTTTTTTTAAAACATCAAAAATAATGCATAAAAAAAAAAAAAAAAAACTTCACCTAAATTTAACAACCGCTGCTAACAACCGGTGTAACACCTGTATAATTGTTCTTAACCAAAGCCTTCCCGTCATTTTCCTCCCACGACTCTCCGCCACCAGCCGCACCCTTGCAATCCTTGACATCCCCGGCTTTCACCTTACTCTCTGCTCCGTATACTTCCCCCACCACACTTCTTACTCCCCCATCGTCGACTCCTTTATCTCCCTCTTTGGCTCCCCACCCCCTCCCCGCCTTCTCTTCGCTGGAGACGTCAACGCTGTTTCCTCCCGCTGGAGCTCACAAAAACAAAACTCTAAAGGCTCTCTTATTAACACCCTTCTCGACGCCCTCGACCTCAAGGTCTGTAACACCTGGGGAGCTATCACCCGCTCCCAGGGCTCCAGCTCCTCCTCCATTGACATCTCCAGCGTCTCTTCCTCTATCCTCTCCTCCGTCTCCGGGTGGACCTCATACCCTACCGACCTTTCCGACCACTATGAGATCTGCTTCTCCCTTTCCCTTCCACCCGACACCACTGTCCTGAAACCCGAAGCTTTAGGCAGATCCTACAATATGAAGTTGGTGTAGGACTAGGTGGGGAACTGGGTGAAATCGACCGGTTAAAAACAATTAATTTCCATGAGGTAATTTTTTGTGGTTGTGGCGACTTTAATATTGAATCCTATAGATGGTCAAATAAAGCGTGGTTGCTTAAATACAAATGCTCCAAAAGAGAAATTGTCGAAAACTTCCTTGACGCTAACTTGCTCATGTTGTCAACAAACACGGCACGATCACGTGGGAGGAGGGCGAGAAATCTTCTATTCTTCTTTCCTTTGATGTGAAAGGTGCCTTTGACAATGTGCTACACTCCAGCATATTGCGAGCTCTATGTATGAATGACTGTCCAAAGAACTTGTTTGTTTTAATTTGTTCCTTCCTCAATAATCGTGTTGTCAGACTGTCAATGAATGGTTGCACGGTCACGAGACAGGTTTCCAAGGGCTGCCCACAGGGCTCAGTTCTTGGGCCGTTTCTTTGGAACCTTGTCTTTGACGAGCTCCTCACGCTCAACTTTAGAAATTGCGTGCACCCGCAGGCCTACGCCGACGATCTTGTTATGGTGGTGGCGGGCCAAGTTGCTAATCAACTTGGAGCGGCGCAACTTGCCATTAACGAGATCACGAGGTGGTGTGGCCTGCATAAACTGGAACTTAGCGTGATGAAGTGTCAGACCATGCTCCTTCTAAGACCTTCTGGCAGACAACTAAAGCCTAGCTGCAATCTGACCATTAATGGTCAACCCATTCAATGGAGCGCCTCAATCAAAGTGCTGGGAGTAAGGTTTGATCAGCGTCTCACCTTCAACCAGCATGTGGTAGAGGTTTGCACCAGAGTCCGCGGTTTTCTCCCGCGTTTGACAGCAGCTGCCAGCTCCAACTTTAGCTTTGGATTCCGTGCCCTGAGGATGCTTTATCTACAGGTTGTGGTTCCAGCCATTTCTTACGCTTCTCCTGTGTGGTTTTCTAATCTTAAACAACGATCCTTAAACACTCTCTTAAGCGCGCAGCGCCCGTTCCTCATCAGGACATGCCGCGCGTTTGAAACAACTGACAATAGCTCTCTCATCTCTCTTTCCCGTGTTCTCCCTCTCGATCTGGATGTCGCGCCAAGGCGGAATTGTAGTTTAAAAAGCACAGTTTTGTTGACGCTGAATTTCCAGTCGAGCCTCCTCCCTGCTCTCACCCACTTCCCTATCCTCCCTATTACTCCGCTCCCATTAATATTCCTGATCTTTCGGCTGACGTCACCTACTACACAGATGGTTCCAAGACGAAAACTGGAGTTGGCACAGGCCTATATTGAGTGTGTGCGAATGGCTCCATGAATGAATTGCGTGAGAGTTTTGTCCTGTCCCTGTACTGTTCTGTCTTCCAAGCGGAGGCACTAGGCTTGATTAAAGCACTTGAGGATGCCTCAAAGCTTCCTGAAAATATTAATATTGAAGTTCTCCTAGATAACCTTTCATTTTTGAAATCCGTTCTTAACTCAGGCAACCTCCTGGTCAACAGGGTTTGTGGCTGATTTCATAACTGAACCGCAACATGAATAGGTGTTCCATACGATGGATTAAAGGCCACAGTGGGATCGTTAATAACGATGTCGTCGAAGTGCTCGCCAAAAGAGTAGAGAAATCTGATCTCCTGAGTTGCTACTACCTTGCGCGGCTGTCAAAACTTGGGCGTGGGACAGATTCACCTCCGCCACACACAACATACACACTCACTTTGGTCTTACTCCAACAAGTTTTTTAGACAAAAAGTATGCGTTCATCACCCTTAGTGAACTATTCCACCAGAGTGTATATACGGTGTGCTTACATAGGTTGCTGCTTATACATGAAGCAAATTCCTATATAGCTTCAAAATGGAAAGGTAAATCATTTAAATATTGAACATATATTGCAAGTATGATTCTGGAAAAGAGAGATTTCAAGAAATTATTTACAGGAATTAAAGATGTACAACTTACAGATAGGTCTCCATAATAACACTTCAGGTGTCAAAGAAATAGGTGAACATTACTTGATGGATTTCTTTACAATGCACAAGTCTCCACCCATGAAAGGCCTAATCCAGCCTCACCTGGAGGTTGTCCACAATTTGGTTGAAATATTACTATGAGAAGGTGTGTATAGCACAGGTAATATATATTATAGTTCTTACATGTTCTGATAGGTCAAAGATAGTTTTACTGCTCTATATTGGCTTATAAATAATGGATAAAATATGCCCTGTCCTTTCTCCTTTGGATTTAATGAGAGCTACCTGGTTTTTCTACTAATATGTAGACCCCCCCTAACACCACCTACTTTCTGGACAAATGCTATGTTCCATTCTTGTATATTTTCACAATATGTGTGTGCACAGTTAAAATACATTCCTACAAGTTTTATCTAGGGAATCCTTTTAGTGGTATGGGCCTGTCAAAGAGCTCCAATAATCAAAGACATCTGCTAGATCAACGGGGCAAGTTACCTTTTGTGGACATAGCAGAGAAACTTCCTGACGTCCAATGAAAGAGAACTTGTAATAATCCTCACAATACACTCATGTCAGCCAGGAGCTTGACCTACCAGAGGACCAACCAACCCAACCTCAATGATGGACTATTGTTATTAGATGGTGGAACAACACCTGATGGCATTCAGGGTTGATTAAATCCTGGGAAACCTTTGCATAGGAACTCTATTGGCTGCTTGATGCAATTATTGGTGCAATATACCATAGAGTGCTTGTGTGAGTATCATTTTTTTTGCCAAATAAGTTCTGAAAAAAAAAAAAAAGAGGGGTGTACATATGTAATAAAATATGAGCCAAGTTTAAAAATGGTGTGTAAGGCTCAGCGTAGCAAGTTGCTGAATTTCATATTAGGACTGTGGCCTGGCGGTGTGAATATTGACAGTGCTTCTTGTCACTCATCATAAATCATCACTCAGTAGGAAGCTACTGCATAGGAACTCTATTGGCTGCTTGCTGAAATTATTGATTTAATATACCATAGGTTGGATCTGACCTTCAAAACCCTCTCTGGGATAAGTGAAGGTGTAGGAGGGAACCTTGGAAGCAGTCTTGTTTCCTTGGCAGGAGCTCCATGTGAAGGCTCCATAGTAGTGCTGCAACAAACAGGTCCTGGCAATGATTGTTGGAATCCAGTATAAAGGAATGTTTCACATTATTAGGGATCATTTCTGCAGTCTCAAATATCAGGAGTCACAATTATCAGGCGTCACAAATATAATCATGATTGGGTGACAGAAGAAGACATAATTAGTACTAATTATCTGGTGTCACAATTATCATATATCCCAATTATCAGCAGTTTCAATTATCATCTTATTTGCCTTTTACACAGAATCATCTGGGTCTCCAAAAACAACCTCTCTGATGCAGAACTCTCTCTGAATAAAGCCATGAAAAATCTGCAAAAGATAACAGAGAAACTGAAATTATTAATAAACATCAGCAAATCTGAAATTGGCCTCTTCACCATCAACAACCACCTTCGCCAGTGGACCCCAAATATTTCATTGAACAACTCAATAATCCAATATTCCGGTTCCCCAAGATATCTTGGTGTGTCTTGACCCTGCTCTGACTTTTAAAAAACATAGTGACACCATGATAAAACAAAGCCGATTCACAATCCTGAATAAAATATCAAGCTTAACTGGGGTGCAAATGCCAATATCTTACGCACAACGTACCTTGCACTCGTAAGACCTATTTTGGAATATGCTACACCAGCCTGGATCAATGCAAGTAAAACCAATATATCCAGAATCCAAGCGCAGCTCAAATCATCAGGGGGCTTCAAGGATCTTGCCCAAATCGCATTGCTGAACTCAAATACAACCTTCTTTCCCTGCACCTAAGGAGAAAAACCTGCTTTTCAAAATTCATAACCAAAAACTCTCCAGAAGAACATCTTATAGGAAAATTTTTAGAAATTGGGTCCCAAATCAAAGACTAAAACACCCAACTCCTCTCAACATGGCTCACAACTCTAATCTCTTAGACATCCCAATTAATCCCAAACCCAGAACTTCCTATCCCCCACACAGAACTCTCAACAAACTCATCTGTTTCCCTCATCTACCAGCCAATCCCCACAAACATGAAACTCAGCCAGAATTACTTAAAGCTCTTGGCCTCCAAATAATTGAGGAAAATAGCTCCCTCTTCGACATCACAATTTACACTGACAGTAGTCAACTTGAAACTGGACTGTCTGGAATTGCTATCAACAAAGATAAGAATCTGGAAAAAATTTCCCCTTTCTACCCTAGACACCTTTCAGTTTATAAATTGGGACTCTCTTAATAAATTCCCACTAGATATTATAACAAATGGTTATGAGATAAGAAAGAAGAAGACAAATGGTTATGAGATAAGAAAGAAGAAGACAAATGGTTAGAGACACATGACATTGTGATAACAAAAGGTTAGAAATGAGAGCAATAAAAAGAGACTTGCCATCAGACTGATGCTCTAGCTCCCACATCTGGGTGGAATCTGCCAGTTGTCCAGGCCTGGCAAACTTATGTATCCTCCACCATTGATGGAAGTCTGGAACCACAGAATTGGTTTCACTGAACAGTCTTCTAGTTGGGGTGAGTAAAATACCAAAGGTAACAATAGAGTGTAGGTACAACCAACATTTGTCTACAAAGGCCCAAATTGCCACTTGTATTAATTGGTGTCTCCACATTGGCTCTGCAACTTGAGAAAGAGGTTTGATGTGGTGTTGAAATAAGTTATTATAAAAGTATAGATATTCTCTTGCGCTACAACACTCAAAGTTCTCAGTGTTACAAGTTCCCATGCAATTTTTATATATTTTTAATATATTGGTGAAATTTCTTGCAACCTTTGGTTTATATATGACAATGTTATAAATCTGGTTTCCTGGTTTTGCACTCTGAATCAAACAAAGTATTATTTTGATATTTTTTATTGATGTCTTCTATTATTCTATCTATCAATATTCAATCTGCCCAGATACACTCCAGGCTACATATTCAGATTAGAAACCGGTCATATCTCATGAGTGTAACAGCTTTAAAATTAACCCTGAAATATTGGCTGCGTGTGTTAAATATGAGTAGTGACAGATTGTCACGTATGTTTTAAAACAACACGGGAACTGTCTAATGCTTCAGGCACACCCATCGGTTTCATTAAAAAGCTCACCAATCTGCTTAACAATAATGGCTCCCCTGCACTTGTTTCCTGTGATGATCCTGAAACGCTGAGGAGCGCGATTACAGGGCTCTTAAAAACAGCGGCAGACCAATCTATACAAAATGACCATACAAGAATGGATAAATCTAAGCTATACTCTCACTACAAAGACTTTCACATATCTTTCATGACGGAGGGATACTTTTTAGGGGATTTTCCTTTCCCGGTTGTGAGACTACTTGCACAAGTTAGAATACTTTCAAGTTTTTTTGGAGAAAACCACACCAAGATGCTCTGCGGTGAGGACCCGATTTGTGCCTTCTGTAATTCAAAACTAAAAAATGAAATCACTCACTATATTTTTGATTGCTCTGCTCTGAAAGAAGAACCCATATGCTCAAAACTGGCAACTCTGTGCTTCACTCCCAGCAATAATTGACAATATGACCCAGAATAAGTATATTTCTACGGCGTTTTATGGTTTCCACAAGTCCATATCTAAGAAGAAGGCCAAGTGACACTCACTCCTCACTTTCTTACTGCTACTCTTTTTGTGTTGTTTTTTCTTGCTTCCCTCTTTCTCTTTTTTTTTTCTTCTGTTTATATTGGTGTTTCCTTTGTCTCACTGTTTTGTTCTTATGCATACCTCTGGTGAATCCTGTATAGGGTCAGTGACCCTTAATAAAGGCTTTTTGTTGTTGTTGAGTACAAAACTCCTATATATTTTGGACTGAAATGGAACTATAGTTCCAATACATTCCTGTCAGTATATAGAGGTGGCAATAATGTTAAGTTCATGTCCAGGATTTGTTGTTATCTACTTCCATGGAGTAATTGAAACATTGAAGGTATCTACAACAACAACAACAAAAGCCTTTATTAAGGGCCACTCGCCCTATACAGGATTCGCCAGTTCACAAGGGATATAGGGAGAACACTGTGAGGCCTTTTTCCGGGATATAGTCTTGTGGAATCCAAATATCGCCATCGCTATATACCTATTCTTTGATATTTCATTAATCAGTGCCGGAAATGAAGGACAAAGTTGCCCCGTTTTATCATTTAGTTTTCGTCTTTCCTCAGACAGAGCAGCACAGTCAAATAAGTAATGCAACATCTCAGTTGTTATTCCTGATCCACAGAAAGTGCATTTCAGGTCTTCACGCCTCAATAAAATCAAATGGTGTTCTCTGAAAAGAATTGAAAGGGTTCTAAATTGTGCAATTAATCTGATGATAGGAAAAGGGAGTTCAGTTAAGAAGTATTCTTCGGTGGTAAACGTTGTATATATGCCTCTATAGTGGGAATATAACTTTGATTGGGTTATTCTTGTTAGGTCGTTTTGTATTGTTTGCTCTATCGCAGTTCTTAATATTCCAGGGATAGCATTCCTTAGTGAATCAGGATCATTACAATAAGTAAGCCACGAGGATCCGTTATTATTAAGTAAATTGCTTAATTGTTTTATAAAACCAATGGGCGCACCTGTAGCACAGGATACTTGCCTCATTCTAGTTAAACATATTCGAGGCAATCTATTTGTATCCATACTCAGCACCCTCAGCCAATATTTCAAGGTCAATTTCAGAGTTGTTATTATTAATGAGACGCGGCCTGTTTCTGGTCTTATTATGTATCCTGGTGTATATCTAGGCAATTTCAAAAACCTACGAATAAATGTATCTTGTATATGGTCTAATAAATCTTTATACTCTGTTGCCCAAATTGGAGCAGCATACATCAAAACAGCCATCACAATTGAGTCAAACAGTTTCATTGCAGAGTTTAGTGAATTAATTTTTGATTTTGCCAATATTGGGGTTGTAGCATTTATTGCCGCAAGTGCTTTTCCTTTGAAAAAGTTTGCGGCTTGAGTGGTTTTAGTTGTACTGACCAGAGGGTATCCCAAGTAATTATATCTTCTTGTCACCATCAGAGGTTTACCATTCCAGTACCAACTATCTTCTCTTGAGGGTTTACCACCATTGCGAAATACCATAACCTTCGATTTGGACTCGTTCAGTGTCATATAGTTCACACCAAGATATTCTTTCAATATATTAATCTTTTTTTTTTTGGAGGTTTACCCTCGACTCTCCTATAATAGCAATATCATCTGCATACATCAGCAGGTGAACATCACCAAATTCCGGAAGGTATACACCATTGAAGGTATCGAATATTCTTTGCTCACTTCTCTGAAGTCATCCACATATCTTCTAAAATAGTAGACATCATTTTTAAGTGAATTCAGAGCCACAATTTCTAACTGACCTATAGAAATACATTTGGTGAAACATTGTTGCACATTTCATTTGTTCAACATAAATAAAGTATGTTGTTTTCAAACAAAGTTCTACTTAAAATTCTGATTTTGGCATTTTTTTTATCACATGGTGCATCCATAATTGTGGGTATTGAAGTAAACATGGATTCAACATCTAAAGATATAATTCTTTGATTCCATTTAGCTTCATGTCTATAATATCTTCTTTGAATTCATAGGTGTTAACAATTTCATTTTCATTAAAATAATATTTCTTCTTCTTTCTTATCTTTATTATTTAAAATAATATTTAAATTAATTCAATTGTTGTGCTAACCATGTTTACTATTGGGCGTAATGGACAGTTAGGCTTGTGAACCTTTTAACCATTAATTTATTTGGAACATGTGCATCATAATTTTTCAACTTGTTTAAAAGCCTATAATTAATATTTTTGTTTTTTTTCTCCAGTTTTTAAGTACGGTATTAAATTTATTTTTAAAGTTTTTTTTTTTTGTTGGATCATTTAGTATAAGAGAAAAATTATAAATCGAATAGTATTGATAAAAATTGACTTCCAAACTTAAGAACCTACAAACAAAATATGACAAAGGAAATGGAATTGTTTTAATGAAAATATAAGGATTCTCCGCCAGGTGGCCAACGAGACAAGTCGCAAACAACATCGTCTCCGTGCTACACAATTATTTCTCAGATAAGTAAATACTTTCTCTTCTTATTACTCCTTATCTATTTAATTTTGGAATTTATTTCTAACTTGTTGGATTACTTCAGATAGGTTCTGGTAAAACTGCTTAAAATGAAATTTTTGTTTTTGGTAGCCATAATTTGCATAGTTATGAAGACAAAAGAAAGTAGTTTCATTGTTAGTTATTCAAATTTTAAGACGCAAATTCTCCCGGCAAAAATTCCTGATATGAAAGACCTTGCTTTTGTTGCAAAAACTAATCGAAGACCTATTATTCTTATGCTATTGATAATTTCAGGAATAGAGCAAAATCCTGGCCCTAGGTCAGCTAAACAAATGACAATGGAATCTTATAGAGAGAAAGATCTAGCTGAAATGATAGCAACTTTAACAACTAAAATAGACGATCTAGGTCAGAGATTGGAAACCCGACTATCTTCGCTGGAAAGCGGGATGAGGGAATTAAATCAACGTTTCCAACATATTGAGACATCCCTTGAGAAAACTGCTAAAGCAGTGAGTATTAACTCGGAGAGGATAGACAGTTTTGAAAGAAGACTAGATCTTTGCGAGATGAAGCAAAGAGAAAGCAATTTGATATTCTACGGAATTGAGGGAAAGGAGTGCGAGGCTCCAACGGATACTCGCGCAATAATCATGAACCTGTTTTCTGAGAAAATGCAAATTCAAGAAAACATCACGATCCAGCAATGTCGCAGATTGACAAAAAAAGCAAACTCGCCGATTCTGATCGAAGTGCCGGAACACAACGAGCGTATTATGCTCTTTAAAAACATGTTTAGACTAAAAAACACCAGGATCTATTTGAATAAAGATTATTCGGTAAAGATTAGAGAACAACGGAAACTACTTATCACAAAAAGGAAAGAACTCATGGGAAAAGGTATTGCCACGAAACTACGGGATAACAGGCTCATAGTTGGTGGGATTGACTATTACGTTACAAATGGTAGAATAATGAGCCAAAGTGGCGACAATGCTTTATAGCCACTGACAAATCCACAATCCTCTGTAAATAAAAATACTTTTGGGCAAACTACTGTAAATAGACAATCTTGTTTTTCGTTCAAAGACGACACACAAGTGCTGTGTTGGAATGTTAATGGTTTGGAAAGGATGTTGCTGCAATTCGACCTATTCACACATTTAGAAAAGTGCAGCATTTTTGCACTCACAGAAACATGGAAGGATCAACATCTGAAGATTAAACCAACAGGATTTCATCTGTATGAATCACTTGCTCAGAGAGACCACAAGAAGGGTAGATCATCGGGGGGAATTATTGTTGGGATTCGAGAAGCTATAAAAGACAAGATTGAAAGGACTGAAATTGAAAAACAATGGATTACGATCTGTCTGAGGTTGGACGGTGAAATGCGAGT